TTTCAGCTGGTACCAAATCCAGCTGGAGAAACTTACACTGCAAATTCGAGAAATAGTGAAAATTAAAATGCTAGATTTTGAACAGCCAATCCAACTAGAAGAACCTGTAAGTAATACAAAAGTAATATTAAATGAAAGAAAAATTACACTGTCGAAAATAGTCTGTTTTGTGTGTGATTCGTTTTGTTCGTAGGTTCATGGACAAAAACAAAAAAGTTTTCAACCGGTGAAAACCAAACCGGCTTCACGCCATTCTGGTCATAAACTCTTGAAGAAGAAACTTTGGATCTTTATAACACGATTCTGTTTTGGTTTAGTTCTTCGTCTTAACTGCATCTTCAAGCTGTGTCGGAAAAAAAAAAAATAGTAAAACCAAAGGATTTGTTACAAATTGAAACAACACTTTCTTTGGTTTGAATAAACCGGTTTTTAATCAAGACACATGAATGGAATGATGAGAAGGTTACCAGTGTCTCCATCTAGTGTCGTGTTCTCATTAGCCTCTTTTTAAATTAGTAAATGTTCTGTTTGATTTGATGGAGAGGTTCATACAAATTACATTAATTACTTTTAACTTAACTCCATCCATCTAACTTTTTCGCTCTAAGGAATCTTACTAAATTTATATTTTGAACTTTGCTTTCACGGTTTAACCCATTTTTTTTTTAGTCAACGCCCAGCAATTAAAGAGTTTCATTTTTTTCACAATATTGCCCCAAGAGCGTGACCAACAAAAAAGAACTTGGCCCAACAGAATGTATAAAGCTGGCAAATTGTAGATCGGTACCATTGAGGCAACAGGGGTTTGGTTGAATAATCTTGCAACTAAAATACATCGTNTCGAGGCTNCAACTGTCTATTTCTTTACTCGGAAGAGACTTGATTCAACTGGAATGCTTATTGACCTAGAGGCATCTCGGAAAATTGCGACCATCATTTTCAATTTCATCAAGAGAATGTATAAAGCTGGCAAATTCATGTGCAAAGTATCTCTTGGTCTTATCACTTTTACAACATNGTACGTGGCTTANGCGGATGAGTTGTTCGATGGTACTTTTCTTGCTCAATGGTACCGATCTACAAGACCAAGAAGAGCAAGAAGAGTACCATCGAACAACTCATCCGCNTAAGCCACGTACNATGTTGTAAAAGTGATAAGACCAAGAGATACTTTGCACATGAATTTGCCAGCTTTATACATTCTCTTGATGAAATTGAAAATGATGGTCGCAATTTTCCGAGATGCCTCTAGGTCAATAAGCATTCCAGTTGAATCAAGTCTCTTCCGAGTAAAGAAATAGACAGTTGCAGCCTCGACACGATGTATTTTAGTTGCAAGATTATTCAACCAAACCCCTGCCCTAGGGAATCTCTTGCCAACCCATAGAAGAGAACTGGTTATACAAACATTAAGAATCCAGTTGTCTACCTTCACTTCATATGGTAACTCATCCACAGGTTTGATCACAACTTCAACTTCAGTAGGATTCGCTGCTGCTTTGTTCATAACTTCAGAGCTGCTGCTTCGTTCACAACTTGAGTAGGATTACCTGTTGCTTTGTTCATAACTTCAGTAGCTGCTGCTTCGTTCACAACTTCAGTAACAACTTTAGTAGATTCGCTGCTGCTTCGTTCACAACTTCAGTAGCTGCCGCTTCGTTCACAACTTCAGTAACAACTTCAAAAGTTGTGAACGAAGCAGCAGCGAATCTAAATCAGAGACTGAGAAGCCATTAACTAAGCCATTCACACAAGAAGCCATTATCTATTTTGAGTTCATCTAGACACCGAGTAGATAACTGTGTTAACTAAACCATTATCTAAATCAGAGACTGAGACAAATGTTGAGACTATTTCCAAGCACATTGAGTTCATCTAGACAACGAGTAGATTACTGTGTTAACTAAGCCATTATCTAAATCAGAGATTGAGACAAACGTTGAGACTATTTCCAAGCACCTTGAGTTCATCTAGACACCGAGTAGATTATTGTGTTCACTTTCCATAAAGATTACCTTAGCATAGTAGCTAGGGTTCGATGAAACCGACGGTTTGTTGAGAAGCGAAGAGGAAAGGATCGATGTGGACGCCGGAGTGAGGAAACGACCAGCTTGATGAACCGACGGTTTGTTGAGAAGCGAAGAGGAAAGGTTCGGTGTGGACGCCGGAGTGAGGGAACGAAAAGGATCGACTCGTGGATGATGACGGCGAACGGAAAGCAAACTCAAACTCTTCATCATCATCGCCGGACTTCTCTCGCGGCGGAAATTAGGGTTGGCTCTCCAGAAATCCTCGGGTTCACTTTTTAGCGTTTCTATTTGATTTATTATTTATTTTTAAATACAAAAACGACTAGATTACAATTTAACCAAACAAAACTACATAAATTACAGATCTAACCACCCTATTATCCACCCAATAAAAGATATCCATCAATCCAAATAAATCCGGATCGAAATTTGATAGAAGTCAAAAAAAAATCTCCAATTTGAACGAAACCGAGTCAGATTGAATCTGAATCGTCGATTCTTCCCAAGTGTGAGATATAGATCTGACAAAGACCAACACAGATGGGCCTCGGCTTCAAGCCCATCAGGATACAAAGAGGGAGAGATCATTTGGGCCTGGTTCAGGTTAAAGCCCACAAACAGATTGTTTTGGTTGTTAAAGCTCACAACAACTACAAGCTTTCTTCTTGGGGATTAGAGAGTACAAGAGAGATATAAAACCAGAGGATCGAGACTTGGAGAA